CACTCCACACTGGCCTTCTCACCCCCCTCCCCCTTGTGCTGGGAATGTTGATCAGAGTCTGCCATATTGTTACGCAGTCCTCCTTCCCTAGGTCTTATCACAGTCTATCTCTTTCTCCGCAAGATCCGTCTACTCTCTCCCTGGTTCACGTATTTCAATCGACCCCTGCTACCTCATCTGTGCCGCTCGAGGCGTTATTCGTCCTCCCCTGTTTCTAAGTGACTAATTCGCGGCTGAAGTCTCATGGTCACGCCTTTCCTACATGGAACACGTCTATGGTGAAAACAGACCCACTGTCAGCCAACTAGCTCCAGTCTCCGCCACGTCTGTCCTGTTTCTATCTCTAATACCAGTCCATGACTTCCCATACCCCAGTCTCTTGTATGTCAACCCACAAATGTTGTGGTACTGCTTGCTTTAATTGAGTTCAATATTCAATGTTGCACCACAACGTTTGTGGGTTGGCACACAATGTGACCAAGTCGTAAAAACAAAGTCAAACAACCTTAAAAGAATAGCAAGTTTTGGTTTGAGGAAATCTGTGCAACCCGGATTGAATCTAATAGGCCTCATATAAGCTATCGCTCTTTATTACTAGAATTTACATCGACAAGTTGTTTGCTGTCCAAGATGACATTCTAATGCTTATTTTCTAACTGAATATTTTGAATTACTAGTAAAAGAAATACCACAAACGAAGCTCCATACTGAGATAAGCAAAGTTTGCAGCCTATCCTAGTAAAAACTATAAAGCCTTGGGAATTCTCATTACGGAAATGTCAAGCCCTTATTTTGTAAAAAGAGCAACTTAGCATAAAAGTGTAATATTTGGCGTGCGAATAGTAAGCATCTAGTGCAGTAAACTATCAGAGGTTGATACACACAATTACTACATAATTTGAGACAAAACAGATAGCAATAGATGGAACTGCGAAACTTACCTGGTAGCTGTGATAGGCAGTGATTGAGTCAGGTTTCCACATTCTCTGGCTAGCAGTAGCTCTGCTTGCGCACATCGCTGTGAAGCAAATTGACATGCCTGTATCTCCTTGGCCGCAGCCTCATTGGTAGGATCATCCACTAAAGATGGAGGTTTCGTCTGGTCGGGACACGTAAAGAGAAGATCATGGTCCGATATGCCACAAACAAACTCCGAAAACTCATCCTTAGGGTCTGTCAGTCGATGTAGATGTTAATCTAACTGTTCATCAGATTGGCGCCTGCTGGGTTCGTGCAGTTGGTTGAGTTAGAGGAGAGTCCGTGAAGCCAGTGGATCATCAAGCTTGAAAGGGTTGCGTAACTCCTGACGAGTAAAGTAGCGATAGAGATCAGCCAATCGACGTGAAGTGGGTGAGTTTGTCGAATTAGGCCCGTGGGTAAAGTGAGGCTTTACCTCAGTTGCCTGTTTGATTATAGCAGTCTTAAAGACTTGACGGCGATAAATCTTCTCTTCAACACTGGAACACGTGATGAGACGATATACAACAATATTATAATGTTGACCTATACGATAGACCCTATCTACGGCCTGTGTGTCAGTGGCGGGATTCCAACTCGGATCGTGTACCACAACCCGGTTGGCAGCCGTTATAATTAGCTCAACAACACCACACTGAATCAGAGAACAATGCATAAGTTAACAAAAGAACAAAATAAAATTGTGTGATAGATAAATGAAACTGAGTGAGGCCTATGATACTGAACGTTGTAAGTTGTTTAAGTTTATAGATATTAAGTCAAAGCTCTGGCGTGATTTGGCCAGGATCCTGTCTCCGGAAGATTTTGACAAACTCCAGAGCATGAACGACAGAAAATCACGTAAGATTTCTGACTTAATAGCAAAACAGCATGAAAATAAATTGCGTAAGTTTGGAATTTTTAGGCAGCCTAAG